CGCATCCGCTTAGAATCAAGGAACAGGCAACATGGTATGACGTCCTCGAGGGGCTGGATGAGGTGAAATCAGGAAGAGTGTCGGGGGAGAAGCTTGTTTTCGTTTTCTGAACTGTTACTTCACGATGTAGTATAATCTTGCAACCCTATCCGAGTGCAGCGCTCAAGAAACCTATGAGTTTTCTCGAGATAACCAATCTTAGACAATATCGTGCTCATGCACTCTGTCAATGGAGTCCCATCTTTGTACGGAGTAGCGGGCACAGGGATATCCTAGCTTGTTAGTGATGTGACTCTCAGGACCGGCGTGTCGGTCATACCTCGTTATGGAAATTGGAAACCTTTTGCGCAGGTAAGATATCACGATAGATTAACAACTGGCCTAACGGAGAATTCCAGGCAGTTATATTTATATTTTTTAACCCGGTGCGAGTGGGCTGTAACTCGCTGGCTTCTATGGAAGACGGGATGCGCCGTGCCAAGCTTTCAGCTCTTCTGATGTGTATTTTTGGCTATTTGTTAACTAGTTAAGCTTAACTAACTAACTAATAAGCTTATTAATTAGGTTAACTAGGATGAGTGCTGGCCATCTTCATGCGACGACGAAGATCGCCAGCCTCGTGTTTTTGTGCTCCTCATACAGCCAACAGACATGGCAGCTGGGGAGTATGGTCGTGACGATGCATTCTCCTTGCTCCCTTTCGAGGCTGTTAATTATCCGGCTAGTTCTGGGAGGCGGACGGACCCAGAAGGGATACGGCACAAGTCACCCATGGCCTCCCCAACTTCGCAGCATACGAACCGCGAACTCAATTTAGGAATTAACTGGTCCGTTATATGGCCAGGTAATATCATAATTCTAGAATTTGCGAGTGGTTGTTGACTCGTTAGCTAACTGCCAAGTCTTACATACATTTGCAGCATCGTGTCTCTGGCTTTTGGCTCCGAAAGAGTGCGTGTTTCAGCTCTCCCAATAACATTACCCCATGGTTAATTTGCAGCCTACTCCGCCCCAGGATAGACGGAGGAGGGCCAACTGCAACCTCATTTTGTCATGATCATACGGGATCAACAAGGGCAGATAGGTGCAAAGTACTCCGTACATGTTCTTTTGTACACGTGGAAATGTTTGGGGGAAATAGAACTCGTGGCTAAATCGATAACCATGGTTGCCGATCCAGGCCGGACGCTTCACACGTTCGTATTTCTCTTTTTAGCTTCAGTGTACTTACAAGGCTAGAGGGGCTTGCATCGCCATCGAGGAATTCAACTTCACTGCACTGACAAAGTTGATGTGCAGGAGAGGGCTTCTTCTATACCAAAACCTCACTGTTCAGTCGTGCTCCTTCAGGCTATCAGCGGCGTTCTCCTACTCACTGTTTATACGGAGGGCAGGAAACCAAGTGAAAATATATACCCTCTTACAATCCCTTCTATGTGTCTCTGGCTGGTCATTGGTTGGCCTGTCAGTGGGAGAGAGAGACTGGGCATTCTTGGCCCCGACTTAATCCCTGGGTTGTTCAGGGACTTAAGAATGGTTATTATTGCTAGTTTTCGTGAAGTAAAACAAGCTCTTACCCAAGACTTCTTATGTGTGGTTAACTCTGATACCCACTCTTAAATGATTGCAGAGGCGCCCTCTGTTTTTTTGAGTAACCCGATGCTCTTGGAATAGCCTATGCGTTCAATACGAGAAAGACCATGCTTGAATATATGTAGATCAATCCTGGGAGGAAGCAAACCATCGCCTTCAACCACAGAGCGACTAATTCAGTTTGTTCTTTTGAGAATGCATTTAGTTCGCTCTCTACCTTCCATTCTTCAGGACTTACGGAGTATTTAAAGCACATGTCTTTGGATGAGCTGCACATCTTTCTATTGACTTGAGTGATAATATCTTCTTCGCTATTCTTGATATGGTCACCTCCTCTCGCTCTAGGACCTTCCAGTTTCTCCAATGCGTTCACGTCACCCCTCAAGACTACCAAAACAATGTTAAGAGAACCAAAATTTGCAGCAAAACCTGTCCACAATAGGCCACAAGGTCAAAAGAGAAAGGCTGCGCAGACAAGTTCAACTGAATCACGATTACGCCTGGCTTGCAATCGATGTCACGCCCAAAAACTAAGATGTTTACGGTCCGATGGTACCGAGCCTGGGAGTAAATGCGAACGTTGTCGGCGTGCATCTGTCCCGTGCGTCTATAGCCCTCCAAATCGTATAGGACGGCCTGCAAGGTCAGGAGTATCGCCTACGACTTCGGTTGGTGGTTCTTTAAAGTCAAATGGCGGGATTATCCCTCTCAATGCTCCTCGGCGACCATCTGCAAGCTCTCCACTACGATCAAGCCCTCAACCACTCTTCCTTCTTCGCCAGGGGGGTGCTGTTGACTCACCCAGTGATGATTCCGGAATGTTTGATTTTCACATAGATGAATCAAATATTAAAGTTGATATGCTATCATTTTATAATGATAGTATACCGTTCCTGGAGAGCTCGGCGGCTTTAGTTACAGAGAAGCCAATTATGCAAGACGTGACGTCTCAAAACATACCAGTTTCTCCATATACCAAGGAAACCAGCGAAGTGTCTAGAGGTCAATGCTCCACCACGGAGATGGCACCTGATAACTATGTTCGAGAATCTATGGTATTTGGGCTAGCACAGTATGATCAGCTGTGCTGCCTGCAAAGAATGAGGAGCTGCACTGGCAACGATAAACGGGGGGTATTCTCACGACTGCGCAACTATCCAATACACGGAATGCTGGAGCATGTTCGAAGACTCACTGAGCTCATAAGGCAGCTGATGCCTATTTCAGACAGTGGCGATAGTTCGCCGCGTATATTATGTTCGGAACTTGTCAGCGAAACTATTCCCGACATCGACTCATGTCTATTAAATGAGGAAGCCTTAATGAACGACTTTTCCGACATGCTGGCACACCCGTTTTCAGAATCCTGTCTCAGCTCCGGTGATAGCATCAGCCGATTATCTCCTCTCACGCCAAGCAAGCAAACACCAGTCGATACTTCCACGATTCTTCTGTTTGTTTCCTGCTACCTTCGCCTTGCACGAGCATTTGCCTTGTTCTTTACGGACCTCCACGCCTTTCTCCTTTTCCCAAGTGCCATTGATCCCACCCCTTCTGGTGAACTCCGGATATTTCCAGGACTAAAGCTGGGCTCCTTTCAATCTTATGTAGGAGTAAGCTTGGAGATATCTATAGCTATTCAGGTCAGCGAGCGCATGTTATGTCGCCTCCATGACTCACTTGGCCTATCCTGGAACCAGTGCAGTTCAGAAAGCCTTCCCAACTCTCAATTGTCGGTGGATGCATGGAGCAACGCCGATACAATCACTCGGGCCATGATAAAAACCATTCAGGCGCAGGAAAGAATAGATGCGCAAGATGAGAGGGGTGATACATTCACAAGGCTATTACAGATAATGGAGAATGTTAAAAAGCTGGTCAAAACACAGCCATTCTTGTGAAATTTTTCAAACTGACACTCTTCAACTTTATTTTCCTCAGTTTCTTCTTTGCTATAAGTGTTAGATGTTGGTGGCATACGGAAGCCATAGGACCTAAATTCACGAATATCGCTCTGCATATTTATCGAGATACCATTCCTCTGTAATATCAGCCCACACCCAGCGTTGCAACTTGCCGACGACCAAGCCAGGTCTCTACTGGCCATTTTATTTTATGGCTTACTCCCAGCACCCTATATCATTCATTACGGCGTAAGGTAAGGCTTGCCATAAAAAACAAGCATCCAAGGACATGCTTCGGCAGAGCGGTATTCTCGTAGATTTCTTCATCCCGTCATCCAAGCCCACTCTAAACTGGGGATCCTCTCTCTGCCCAAATATTCGTTTCTAGATGGTAAAGAAAATCTACGGAGCAGTCCGGGCTCAAAGTGAAGATAACTATCACTAGTACCCCAGAACCAAAGACGACCCATTGCTGATCAGGGTTGCGAAATGCTTTGGTTGAAATGCTTCTCTAAATCTTTGATAGGCTGCAACGCCACCAGTTTGAGGACCATGCTTGGTGGCGTTGTACTAATTAGTAGTTATACGAGAAGTAGGGGGAAACATCATGGAATTGCAAGCTGGAAAAGGAGAAACCTCACGGATCAATAATTCAGTTAACTATAAACATTCTCTCCTTTACCCCCATTTTTGCCATCTTCTGGCCTAAGATGATTGATGGTTAATTGGGAGATACAGATTGCAGACCTAGAGTTTTATAGTTTTTGTTTCCTTAACCCCTTACCGCTCTTGTGGCATAGCTTAATCTCTATTAAAGAGAAGATGTTACAATAAAGCAAGCAATCGCAATGGAAATGTATCCAACGCAACCCTTTCCCGCCAGAGAGATGCAAAACTGACTAGTTACATGCTTTTTTTGGCCATTTATCCTGTTGTTCCGGGTCGTACTCGGTACGAGTATGTAGAATAATAGAATAATACCGATTATACGCTCCTTTTCAACGAAGAGGCGTAGACTGGGCTCGATATATATATATGAAAAAGCTCTTTGCACAGAACTAATCGAAGGTCTTTGATATTTGCATTCCAGGGTATGCGGTTTTAAGAACCCACAATCAGCTTCATTCTCCAGATATATGATATGAGCGTTGCTAGAGGAGATCTGGTACTATGTCGTACTACGGCAGGTAGTTAACACTGTCATAAATGACTTCCAGAGGAGTTATTAGGTAGTTAATCTCATAGCGCTGGTCCATGTGGAGTACCACCCAGTTTCGACATTTTGGAATTCGATCCAGATGGTTGCGTTGTAGACACTTCCCTCCTGGCGTCCGCATGCCCCAGATGTATTTATGCGGCTGACACTTCTAGCCGTATGTTACAACTCTTTTCCATCGTTGAAGCACACCTGCCTTGTGCCGGGTGAGGTTATTTGAATCATAAATCGATGAACCCAGCATCAATCCAGTGTAAAAAAGCTACTGGACCTATCGTTCCATCGATTCACATCTCTCGTACACGCTTCGCTGCCCGGGATGTTAGGGAATCGTCTGGTAGGCCGCTCCGCTTTGTGCCGGGTAAGCTACTGGTGCGGATATCGTTGTCGTCCTGGCTTACCCGTCGGTTTGGGTATTTCCCCTCAAATCCTTCGAGGCAATTTGCTGTAATTGGGCTACCCGTTGAAAAGTATGGGTGCTCTAATGCCTCCTTTGCCGTAATCCTTTTCGCTGGGTTATATTCTAAAAGCCGTGAGAGAAGGTCAAAGCCTTCTTTCCCCGGAGTTCCTGCCGTTGATGATGGAGAATATGAACCGTTCTTCAAACAGGCGTTATACCATGGCTCTAAACTCGATGGCTTATGTATATGGCTTGTCCCAGGGCCCAACGCAAAAGCTTGAAGCTGGCCATATTCGGGCATCGAAGCTAAGCCAGGCCAGTTTTGCTTCAGGGGCATCCCGAGAATTTCCATGATTTTCAGCATTTGATTTCGTTGGAAAGGCACATTTTTCTTGCTATCCATCTTTGCCTCCTCTCCCTTGAATATTGGGCGGAGAGATAGTAGCTCAGCGAATATGCACCCAACCGCCCAGAGATCGACAGCTGGGGTGTAATGCCGGCAGCCAAGGAGTAATTCAGGTGCGCGATACCATATTGTCACCACGACCTTATCGCCAGAAAATAGCGAGTTTAGCGGTTTATAAAATAACCGGGCAAGCCCAAGATCGCCAATCCTTACTGCACCGCAAGAAGTTACCAGTATGTTAGCTGGCTTGAGATCACGGTGCAGAACCCAGTTTGAGTGAAGATATAGAAGTCCGTTGAGTAGCTGGAAGAGAATTGACTTCACCATCGGTGCAGGGATGGCATGTCGCTGAGGCTGAGTATGATGGTGTATTATCTGCAGGAGATCGTGCTCGGTATACTCAAATACCATAAAAATGCATCGATCCTCAAGAATAATCTCGACAAGTCTTACGACATTAGGGTGGTTTAATTCAGTACACAGAGCAATTTCTCGAACTGCAGATTGCGAAAGTCCTGTGTATTGGATTGTTTCTCCTTCTTTATCAGGTTTGAACCTAGAGTTATTTTTCTTGTTAGTATTAGCTTAATAAATGATGAAGAGATCCTTTACTTTTTGATAGCAAATTCGCCTTTTTGTCCATTTTTACCAACGGCTTTATAGACTCGCCCATAGGTACCGCTGCTTATGAAACCAACGATATGGTATTTCTCTCTTATGCGGACTTTGCTAGTATAACCGAAGCCTGGAGACTTTATCTGGTTGGCAGAGTCTATATTCATATGTTAGCGAGTATCCAGGGGTAACCGGAGGCACAGGCCGTAGCCAAGATCATGAGAAAAACATCAAACATAGAGAGAAATAAACAGTATGAAGACTACCAGTTAGATATTGATGGATAAATAAACAACCAGCGTTATACTTCTTTTATAATAGATCCAAATTGTGATTGTCAATCGGGGTTGAGGTAGCCGGTAACACCGGAGATGGCAGGAATCAGCCACGGCATTATTATCATTGATCAACAGTGAAGAATATGAGACCATCATAGAAATTCCATGCTAAAACTTGAAAGGTTCAAATAAAAGGGTATAAAGGGAACTATTCAGCGTAATTTGAAATCAGGGTTGGATATCAAAAAGTGCATGTGTTCTGAGGGCAGGATAAATTGGTGAAAAGGTTGTCTTTGAGGTATAATGCGGGTGAAAGCCCTCGGGCTAGCCTTGGGAAGTTGAAACTGCCTTACCATCGAAGGCCACTTGTACGGTACGGTGTATGCCTTTGGTCGTTGATCGAGAAGCCATCTGAAGGAGGTGGAATCGAAATAGGCACTCAAAATTTAGCGAAGAAAAGAAAGGGGAAAATAAATTATGAAAATGTCAAGCAGGTCATTGGAAACAATAATACAGTCTAGAAAATAAGAATTAAAAAAGAAGCCATTATATATCTATTGATCCATGCCGGTGGTTGTTCTTCGGAGCGTCGCAAACGCTTTGCGGACGGGACGTTTTGATGGCTCCGGCCCGAGCGGCCAAGATGGGTCACGTGAACATCCCGACGTCCATTGTTGATATTTGCCTCCGAATACTCAAATTCTACGTCTAATTCTCTTGTGGCTGTCGACCTTGCTGCTGCGATGTGTTTAATATAATTGATCTACATGTAGGCACACAATTTCTACTCAGAATACCGAGACATAGCTACACGCTTTACCCTGTATGGTGGTTGAGGGCGTGGAATATTTCCTCCCTTACCATGAACATTCAGGACAATCCTCGTCCGTTCCATTCCCACGTAGTTAATTAAAAG